GGATTCTGTATATGGCACAGTCAGTCTGGTACTCCTACACACTCCTTTAGGTGGTCTTCTCAGTTGGGGTGTAATGGGTGGGGGAGGGCGGAAGGCCATGTGACATCTGGTCATTAGTTAGAGTACTCGGAGAGCTATGATAGTTGTTTGTGCCATCTCTTGGCCTCAATTTTCCTGATGCCCTAGGGGTCAGTCCAACGTCTTGGGCATGTCGAACAGGACCACCTGTTCTGTGGGTTTGCGAACTCTGTGCATGGGCTGGTTCTGTAGGCATGTTGAGAGAGAGATTAGGTGTTGGAAATAGTTAGAGATGGGGGAGGATCGTGTTGTGTGGTTGGAAAAAGCATGGTGTTTGTGTAGGCTTTATATATGTAGTAGGTTACACTAGTTTTTATATGCTAGGACCACTGGCAAAGGGTTGCTGGTGCAATCATAGACTATTACTGGGTATTCAGTTCAAAACTTGACTACAAAATGTGGTTTTGGCATTGTTGAGTCATTCATTCATAATCGAAACTCACAGTCATTGAGCTTAATACGAGGTGAGTACCGTAGTCGGATAAAGAACTGAGGAAATGAATACGCCAATTACGGAGCAAGCGAAGTCTCGTATAGCTAGTTATGGTATAGTTTAGCGATGCAATTTCCCTACAGCACTAACTATGCCTGATAGGATTAGATGAATCCATGTTCATGTCCGAATGTAGAATCATGGCAGCTAAACAATAGAGAAGCGTCTTTGCCCCAGGCCTTTCTTATATCCAAGCACTGGAGATACCCTGTCAGCGCCAGGCCTAATACTGATAGAAAAGGCGAGGTAGACCAAATGTAGTCAAACTTTATACAAGCGTACTCGAGTACTGTAGCTAAGAATGTGGTTTACGATACTAAGGCAAGGGGGACTAAAAATACGAGACACTGGACCCGGGTAGAAAAGTCTAACAATACAAAAGGCCCAAGCAACAGCGGTAGTAGTATTCAGAGTAGAAAAAATACACCAAATAAAAGAAATGCAAGGGACACGGCAGGAATGGGGAACTTACTGGTAGATAATGCAAAAAGGAGGAGCCATAAAGAGGAGAAAACTCTGGGCTATGTCAAAAGAATTGACCGGGGACAAAGAAAACCCCGTAATAGGTTAAAGCAAAAGGCCCTAGACATGAAGAATACATTAAGAGATGAAAATAGGAAAAAAAAAAATCTCTTGAGACGAAAAAAACATGATGATGTGTCAAAAAATAAACCAGGGACGAAGAAAACCTCATGATCTGTTAAAAAGGACGCCAGAGACAGAGAAAACATTGAGAGATAAAAACAGAAAAAAATGAAAGCCCAGAGGCAAAGGAAATACTGAGATGGATTAAGGCAGGAAAAAGAAACTTCGGAGATGAAGGAAAAAGCTAGTCGAAAAAAAAAGTTGTAAGTGACGAGATGCATATTAGTCACTGGCAAGCCAACATGCTCTGCCCCAGGGCACCTGGAGGGTCAGAGTCACATCTTCGCAGCTTGCCGTATTGGG